TGATTTTTTTTTTTTTTTAATAAATACTATCTTACCTTAAAACAGATTATTGATTGGACTTTCTCCATGACAACACAAAAATATTCCAACAACTGGACAACTAACAACACTACGGTTGTCACAGTACCTATCCACAATTGGGGAAAAAATGTTATTGCTAAGAAAATGAATGAGCTTACCCTTAAAAAAAACCAAAAAAACAGCTTAAAAAAAACCTGTATTACTCTTAAGACAACATGGCATGGGGAAAAAAATACCTTCAAGTTCAGAAGCTTTCTCCTGCCCCAAGAGACCTGACTTCTTTTACACCAATAAACGAGCACAATTTCTAGTGAGAGAAGTTAGTAACCCCAAGCTGCAAACAGCTCAGGGAAAAATCCAAAAATCAATGAGATGAAAATAAGCCGTGCAGGCAGCTGATCACAAATAAATTCTGACAGGTGATCATTAAAAGCCTGGCCCATAACTAGGCTCCCCTGAGAAGAACAAGGACAGACTGTCTGCTTTTAATGCACAAGTGACAGAAAATGGGGTAGCATACCCGCACTATTTTTAAAGACTCGCTTGGGAGAAGCAAGATTTTGTTTTATATTCCACTCCTGCCAACTCCAGATATATTTTAACATTGGAAGCACTCACAAGTTACTGGTTAACTAAGAAATGCCTTGAAACTGAAAGACAGAAATGAAGTAAGATCCACATACAGTGAGCAAACAAAATCCATGACCCAACACGCACACGACTTAGGGCCAAAGGCTCTGCTGACAGGTTTGGGGTGCTCTACTTCTTTTTAATGAAAAAGGTACGTTGTAGACTTTTAAGACTTTTCTACTTCATCCTGTTTTACAACTGTTGTCCTTCTATTTATTTATTTTGCCTCCTTATCAGATGACTCTGACAATGACTTCGCACGCTGAGCGTGGCAAGCGATCAAGCGGAGTGGAGAGGAGTGGTTTCCTGCTCCCAAGAGCACGCTTTGCTCCAGCAAGCCTTGTGAGAGCAGAAGGGCACAATAAGCCAGCCTTGGACTTCTTTTTCAGGGAAAAAAAAAAAAAAAAAAAAAAAACTTTAAAGTTGACACTATTCTGCAGGCCATGATCTCAGCCTTGCTGGTATCAAGCCAGAGCAGTTACTCTAGATGTGCACTGGTTTCTCTAAAGGGACTGTTTGAAACATTAATAAACAGATAGAAGAGTTTCACTGACACCAAGCAGGTTTGAAACCTGTTAGGATCAGAAATCAGCTCCCTGTCAATTTCTTTTTTGCCTCCAACTAAAAGTAACCATAGGTGTAACACATTAACTCTGGACAGAGCTGCACTCAGCCTATGCTACTTTAAGAAAGGTTACAATGCAATTACAAGATTTAGTTTGTTGCACCAGCTATGGCAAATTTTGCTATGCTCAATAAGGAATAAGATCGCAGCCAAAGCTTAGAACAGGAAGCATGATCCAAGGATTATCTTAAAAAATAATTACCAAGGCTACAACTCAAATACGGGTAAGAAAAATAATGGTCCTTCTCCCTGTTCATTTCACATCATGGCATACACGTGTTACTATTTTGTTCATGTGTTTTTCATCTGCTATTAGCAGGCTACCAAAGAAGAAAAGACAACAGGAAAGTTCTCTTGGAATTCTTGCAGCTTCCTGACATAAGTTAAGCAAAAATCCCTATGGAGCAGCTTAACAATACCTAGAGCTACTTTCCTTTTCTGAATACAAATGCCACGAATCACATCAGCCCTCTCTAAACTGCCTGTCAAGCATACAGTGCGAAGCAGTGATGTACAGCGGGGAGGGAGGCTCACGCCACAATCCAGAGGAAGCTCTGAGGGCTGATTTACCTGGTCTGACCGGACTCTGCATGCAGTTCTGCGACACCATGCCTGGGTGGACTGAAGTAGAAGCCCTGCTGCTGAGGTCCATGACAGAAGGGGATGCTGAGGTAGCTTGCTGCAGACCTGGCTGATGTGGGCTATGCTCGTGCTGGTTTGGGCTGGGTGGAATGCCATTTTCTGAGAGGAACTCTTCCAGGTCCATGTATTCCAACTGGAAAGTGTCTCCATCGTATGGCAGCGTCTTGTCCCATAATGTAGGGCCCAAGAAAGCAGACTGAGGGACTGTGGTACTGGTGCTGTCATCCTCTAACTTCTTCTCTTTGTCTTTTTCTTTACCGAATGCTTAAACAAAACAGATAACAATGATGTAAGAGCTGAGTAATGAAAATATTACCACTCCTTATTTCTTACAGCCGAAGTTGCAGGGGAAATGAGTATTAGCTTTATAAAATCAGTTCCCTTGATTCACTCTGTTAAGTGCAGCATGGAAGGGTCGTGACAACTGAGCATCTTTACTGGATGTAGCCACGCTTGTTTTTTTCTGCTCCTTTTAGTTAAGGATTCCAATGCATGCTTGGATTTGAAGCCAGCATGTGAGTAACAGCAAGCTGGGAGATACTGCTGTACCCTGCTGGAAAGGAACGGTCTTGACCTAAACCTGAAGGGGCTGTTATAAGGTCACATTTAAAAAATTAAGGTCCCACTCTTGCAGTCCTTGAATTTAATAACTGTTTTGCTTGCTTTAAGGTGGCCTCATACTCAGCAGCAAATTACAAAATATATCATTTGAAGAAATAACACTACTCATGCTTTAAAGTTTCTAACTCAGAGCAGCAAAGTCTAACTGGCCTTACATTGACGTTCAAGGGTAGAACCAAAGCAAAAAAAAAAAAAAACAACAAAAACTTCAAGCGATGTTTCCTACCCGCCCCTACAACGAAGAGCTGTAGGGAAACACCCCATTTCCCTCAGACATTTGGGAGACCCCGAAGGGACGCGGCCAGCAGCGCCGTACCCGTACCGCACGGCCCGCGGCTCTGCGGGACCTCCAGCTCCTCACGGCTCTCTGCTCCCGCGGTGCTGAGAGGCTCGCAGCTCTCCGCGGTGGCAGACGAGCGCTGGGTCGGGGCGGCAGCGTCCGGCGCCGCACCGAAGCCGTCCCGGTACCGAACCGCGCGGGGACGGCAGCGGCAACGAGCCGCCATTTCGGGGCGCACTGAGAGGGACGCGGAGGGGCGGCGGGGGGAGCGCGGGACCGCGGCGGCCCGGGGGGCCTCACCGTCTTCGTGAGCGAGCGGCAGCTTGAGCGGGTTTTCCAGCAGGGATTTCAGCACCCCGTAGGTGGGAGGTAGGAAGGTGGGGTTCAGCGGGAGCGGCCGCGACATGGTGGGCTTTCCCTCGGGGCGAGCTGCGCGGCAGCGGCTCCTTCAGCCTTCCTCCGGCGGTGCCGCGGCGAAACGGGAGTTGCGGGGCCGGGCCGAGGGACGGCTGCAGGCCGCCGGGCAGAGGGAGCGGGAGAAGCGCCTCCGCCGCGCAGCTCCTCCGGCACCGCCGCTCCCGCTGTGCGCCGCGCGCTCCGGCCGCGCGCCCATGTGCAGGCGCTGCCGCTGCTGACGTCACGAACGGCGCGGCCCCGCCATTGGCGGGGGTGGTTGAGGCGGGCGGCCCCGACCCTCGGCTCCGCCCCGGGGCGGTGTCGCCACAGCCGCGCCCCCTCAGCGGCACGCGCGGTGGCCGTTGCCCGCGGTGCGGCGGGGCAGGGCGGGGCGGCGGGTGCTGGCCATGCGTCGCGCTCTTCGCGCTGCCCCGGGCCCGGCGCCGTTTCCATGGTAACCGGGAGGCAGCGCGCTGCGCGTGATCGCGTGGCCCCGCGGGAGCCCTCGGCCGTGCCCGAGATGATGCGGGTCCCTCCGGCCGGGCCGGGCGTGCCGCTGGGAGAGCGGCGGGGCAGCGTGTGAGCGGGCCGGGGAGCTGCCGGGTACGGACCGCTGAGGGCCAAACTGCTGTCATTGGAAAGACTGAATTGCAAAAGTACGGAGGGAGCGACGTAGAGGAGCGGTGCTCGTGGTGTTATGGCACGGAGTGCTTCTTCTGCACAGTGTAAAGATAGAATAAACAGTGAGGCATCGGTGGAGTGACAAAGGATCGCTGTGCCAGCGCTGCGGGAATGGCGCGGCGGTGACCAGCAGGCTATAAGGACAGAGCGGAACTGCTTCTGTGGCTGTTGACATAATTGGCATTTTCTACAAAAATATACTAAAAAAAACCCCCACCAAGTTGTTTTTTAGGTACCAGGGGACCTGAATGCACCAGCCCTGTCATCAGATAGGTGCTGCAGAGCCTATTTGTGACCGAGGTATGAGGGCTGCTCCAAAAGTAGTGCCTCCTGTTTCGTCACGTTGGCCCATGATGTCAGAGGCAGATGCTGGCATGGCAGCAGAGGTTGAACCTTCCCACCAACATCTCGCTCCATTTTGTTCTGATGGCAGCAGATGGGAGGTCTGACAGAACGGTGTCTGACATGGGAGTACAAATGGAGCAAAGAGGTGGAACTGAATTCCTCCATGCTCAAAAAATTGCACCCACTGACGTTCATCATGGCTGCTGAATGTTGATGAAGGCCAAGCAGTGGATGTGAGCACAGGGAGGGGCGGTGCTGCGTCCCAGCAGTGGGGCAGAGGGTCACCTCCTTGTGCAGGTCCTTATGAGCGCAGCATGCAGATCTTGTTCATTGCTGGCATAATTCACAACTAATGTTGGCGACCGTGATGAAACGCAGTGTTTCTTGAAGTTGAAAACATGCTCTATCAGTGTTGTTGCGCTCTTCTTATCTGTTAGTTTCCATGGAAATAAACGGGAGGCATTACTTTTGGAGCAACCTATGCAAATAAAAGTTAAGAACAAATCTTCCAAGATTATCATTATTATTATTTTCTGTGCAATTATTTCCTAGCAATTGGAAACACAACTTAGGATGCAGGCACGGTGACGTTTAAGGCCCCTTCTCCCTGCAGCGCCCGGCGGGAGCACAGCCGGGGGCGCGAGCCCCGCAGCAGGGAGGGGTGAAAGGAGGGAGCGCGGGGCTCGTCACGTGAGCGCGCGGGCTGACCTACTTTGGGCCAATCGCAGCACGCGAAGCCCCGCGCGCCTCCCGCAGCAGCGCCACAGCGTGGAGCCGCCGCAACGGTCGCTCCACGCGCCCCGCCCCGCGCGTGGCGCCTCGCCTCGCCTCACCTCACGGCACCTCGGCCGTTTTGTCTTCTAAATACATTTTTTTGAGGGGGGCGGAGGGAGAAAATTGCAAAAGTAGCGGGAAGGATGCAAAAGCAGGAGAGCGCGGTTTGGGGAGCGTGCAGAGAAGCAGTTCCCCCTGGCTGAAATACTTCGGTTTGGCACCGCCCTCCCGCAGGCTGCGCGGAGATGCGGAAGGGACAACGGCTCCAGCCTTTGTTTTAGGTGTAAAACAGCAGAGCACCCCCAGCTTGGCCTCGGGCGTCAGTCCTCCTCCATCTGCCCGACAGGACCCGTTACTCAGAGGTGCATAGAAAGACAAATGCTTACGTTTAGACACCCACATCCCAGGCAGAGCTCAGAGCCGGCAGCTCCTGAAGGGCAACACGAAGCCCCAGCAGCACGCCCTGCTGACTGCTGCCCGCGCGGCTCCTGTGAGCAAGGACCTCTGCTGAAGGAACCACCATCTGCCCCCTCCGTTTTTATTATTTCATTTCTTTTCAAAGGTTTTTAATGAATGTGGGAGAGACAGGTTTGGAACAGCGTTGGGGTGATGGCAGAGGAAGTTCTCTGAAGTAATCTGGGGGCAGTGCCAAGAGCCATTCCAGTTCTCAGAAAAATAACCAGTCACTGCTTATGTGCTGGGAGCTGAAAGATTGATCATTTTTGCTGCCAACATTTACAGTCAGTCCTGACCGTGACAGTAGATCAAATACATGTACTTTTCTGGACAGCTGACCTGGTTTGAACTCAATGAGTGTTAAATCTCAACGATGACTACGTTTATTTAATAAATACTTTGCTATATTTTTTAAAGCAACCATAACCTCACCAAGCACCAAGCAGCCTCTTAGGACTGTTTCAAACACCTGGTGCCCTTGGTGCCTTGGGTAATTGCTCAGACCCCGCAGGTGTGACTAGCTGGTGAAATGAGATGACACAGCTGGACTGAGACAAGCCACAAAAAAGTTGCTGGCTTGTTCTGCAGTTGGACATTGATTTGAACAAGAGTAACTTCCAGCTGGTGCCAGTGGGAGAAACAATTTGATCCTTTCTCTGTGCTCGGCTCTTATTCCTTTCTCACTTTTGGCTTGTGTGCAGCAGGAAGGCAGTTAGAAATAGCTGTTCTTACATGCTTAGACTGTTTGATTTTGGAACTTGGTGCTGGTTTTACTGGAGATAGAAGAGCACCCACAAGCAGAGAATGAAACATCCCATCCCCAGGCAGAGCTGTAACGGGAGAAAGGAGTGAAAGGTGAGCATCTCTTCCTTATTCAGAGTTTCTAGCAAAGTCAATGACCCAGATTTCTCTGACTTCAAATGGCTGTTTTCAGCAAGCTTGCCAGAGGCATGGTGCTGGGGAAGGTCAGGCAGAATTCAGCCTCAAGTGTTCTGCATGTTCAGGCTTATCAGATCTGGATTTGTAAAACTTCATACTGAACACTCACTAAAATCTGACCAGTGCCCTGGGCTCCAGACTTGCAAGGCAGCTGCCCAAAGCTTGGGATTCCTTTGTCTGTACTTCTGGGCTCAGTTCTGTAACAGTCGCCTTGTTCTGAGATTTTACTCTTAAAAAAATTACAGAAAACCAGTTTTTAATCTGTGGTATTTATTAAGAACCTAGAAATACAATAAACCTCTTTACGTTCTCAAGGAAGCCTGACCTGCTGGAAAACTGGGACAAGTCCTGCAGACAACAATCAACCTTCCAAACAAAGGCATTAGAAGTCATGCTATGCCTTTTTGTGAAAGAATCGTCATAACAGCACACATTTTAAAAGAACAGCAAGCAGTGCAGGAGTGCTCTTTACTAACCTGTATGCAGTTTATCCTGAAGGACTGGATCCATTAAGGCTTGCAGGTGAGATTTTCCCCCCTCATTGCACCCCTCCTTACCACCCCAAAATGTTTTCCCACTCAGTTATATGCAGTAGTGGAGAAGGTTCTCAATTTCAAGGTTAGGCTGTAGCACCCTTCCTTAAGATCTATGCTCATGTCTCTCTTATGCTCTTTTTTTTTTTCAATCTCTCATAAATAAAAAGAATGAGTTGGAAACTAGTTGTTGTTATCTGAGTATTAGAATATATACACTGAGTATGTGTAATACCAGTCTACCAGACTTTGCATGTATTTTGAAACCCACATTTCTAAGTACCATAAAGCAACCACCATTTTAAGAGGCAAACATACCTTGCATTTTGTGCACGCAGCTCCTTCCTTTATTTGATGCAGTGAGACAGATTAGATCTCTAAAGATTAACTTGGATTTTTAAAATGCATTTCCAAATATTGAATAAGCTTCACTAATACTGAACATCCAAAATCTGGATTTCGGTTGTATGCTCAGTATTTACCAAAAGGAAGTGGAGGTATTTTCCCATAACCATTTGTTGGCTCTGCCTTAGCAGTGTCTGGGGCTGCTGCCTGCTGTGACTCAGAATGGAGCAGCTGCACACTGGGAATTGTGCTCAGAGTGCAAGATCCTGGGCAGCCATAGTGCAGGTCCTCCTGCCTCAGCTGTGCTCAGCAGCCCCCTGCAGAGGTCCTGCTGCCTTCTGAAAGAGTAGATGAGTGGATTATTAATCTACCAAGAGTAGATTACTGATGTCTCCTGTAAGGACAGACATGTATGGAAAAAAATATACATTAAGAGAGATGTATAGCAGTTGCCATTTCAAACATGTTCAGCTTTGTAAAACTATTTTTGTGCATTTAAATGAAACGCAAAAGTTGCAGTGGTAGCTGGCATTGTACAAACTTCTGATGTTCATGCAGATACAAGAAACCATGGAATGATTGCTTTTCATTGCTTTATTCTGCCTTTGACTTTTTTTAATATTGTATTTTATTTTGAAGTTGTCAGCCTTGATATGTGGAAATGTGGATGTGTAATTGTCTACATCTGGGTTAAAGATATTCTTGCCTCTATATTTTCCTGGTCAGGCATTTAGACTACAAGCTATATTGAAAGCCTTGGGCAGCAACCTATTCTGAAATCATCAGAATAACTGGTTTCATATTAAAAAGATCTGCGTTTGTTTTACTCCCACACATTTTGCTTTAAGCTTTTAAAAAAATCTATCTTTAATTACCTTGCAGCGTAGCATTTTCGTAGGCACTGGTGAGTTTTATTTTTATTTTTCTTTAATTGCCAAAGGGCATAAAAATAAGTATTCTGTGGCCATGCAACAACACACATGCAAGGAAATAAAGATGTCCTCCTGTATTTTCCCTTAAATGGCTTTGACCTGGAGAACACATCGTTTTGATTGACATGAGAAAGAAGGCTGTGATCTTATTTTTCCTGTTTGCTATAGCTGTTTCAAACTTATCAAAGGAAGAAATAGAGGCTTTTTAGATGGCTGCTTGCCAGCATCACTAATCAGAATTTTAATGAGATTTTTCTTTGAAGGCCTAAATTAGGTCTAATTAACAATATATAAAGCAAATATATAATGCCATAAAAGAGATGCAGCCTGCAGTCTTTTATACAGAATACGCATTTCAATCTCCTTACAAATAGAATTGTTAAGCTAAATACACATCTTTATGCTGCTTAAATATAGGCAGAATTTCTTTGCTGTTAGGCATTAATTAACAAATTGCCTTTAGAGAATGTGGTCCTACACTCTCATAGTAAGTTGGAAATCTCTGACAGGGATCAACAGGAGCGCTTACGGCTGAAGCCCTCAATGAATTCCGTTCACGTTGACGCAGACTCTGAAAACTCCAGTCCAACATACGCCACAGTCACAATGGCAGGGTGAGCTGTTCTCTTTTACTTCCCTCAAGTACTCCATTTGCCACCATCGTGTCTCTGGATGGACCATGTGTTCCTATTGTTTGTGGGCTGGATAACTAGCCTGCAGCTCCCATTTCCCAACCATCATAAAAGGCGCTGTTAAATTTAGTCTGCAGTTTTCCCCCCAGCATTTAGGACAGAAAATCATTAACAACTACAAAACATTATCCTCAAAACACAGCATTGTTTCTTCTGTTCCCCACCAAAGCGTATAGCACGAAAAGAAAGAGGAATAAACCAAAGACATTTTTCTTTCCCACTTGTAGGGTTTTGGTGCTACTTACTGTTCTCTCCTGGGCTGACATATCTCTAACATTACAAAGCTTTTTAGAAAGGGAAGCATTTTTAATTAGAGATGCTCAGATGCAGCCTATTGCAATTAAACACCTGAAAGTATGGAATTACAACATCTGCTTAAACAGATCATTTTATTCACAAGCTGAGACCATTAACCAGGAAGCTTCTTTCAAAGCCTTTTTCCAAATTTAATGCTTAGTAAACAAATCTCATTTCTTTTATCCCCATTAAATCAACATCACTTCTGATTCATTCAGTTCGTGAAACTAAAGATGAATAGCAGCATAACAATGGGGGGAAAAAAACAAACAAACACACACCAAAGCACAGCAGAATAGAAAGAATTGAACCCCCAAGTGCTCCCCCTTGCACAAAATCCAAGTCACCAGTTCAGGTGCTGCTGGATCGAAGCATTTGGAGTGCTTGAGCAGGATAATGCTCTAGGGATTGCTCTGGAGCAGGTCTATTTGGGAAGCTGTAGGCAGAGTTTATGTTAAATTGCAGCATCTGTAGTTAATAAGAATAGTCTCTCAAGTGCCCATTAGCTTTGAACTAACATCAGACACGTTCTGAGTAAGCTTAAATAGCCATTTCAAATGTGTATTTCTTGAAGTGTGTAAATAAATATATTCTCAGCAATTTTAAGAGAAGAGCCAAACCACAGGGTGAAGCGAGCCAGAATCATTTCGCATCTGTTACAACACTCTGGATAATGTTTTGGTTGATTTATAGTGGAAATATTTGTTTTTCAGCTGGAATTTTGGTAACTCAGAACAGATGTTCACAGCAATGTTGGAGTAATGTCTACTCATACTTCTCTGTTAAATAAAGCACTGTTACACATTTAAGCTAACCTAGGTTGGTTTAACCTGAAATCTAATATACTGTGAAGTTAGTAAGCTTAAGAAAGATATATAGTAATGGAGATGCTCATGGAATCCAATATCGTTTATTTTCCCATTTTATCAGAACTAAAAGGCTTACAATGGTGCATATAAAGAACTACCAAAGCTGTTAGATTTTCTGTTTTGTGAATCTAGATGGAGAAGTGCTTGTCTATCAATTTAATATTTTTTCAAAGCTATGTAGTGTTGAACCACTCATTTTTCAGACTTTTTTTCCCCCACCCTCTGCAAGCAGAGGGATATTTCTTAACCAGGAGAGAGAACCAGGTTCTTGTGATGATGAAGTTATGCATGTTTCCTAAAAAGCTGGCTAGTTGTCTTTAAAATCATTAGGAATTTAGTACATAATTTAGAAAAGACAACACACAAAACAGTAATCAACTGTCTGTATCACCTAGACCTTTGACTGCAGAACAGAGATGAACAGAGTCCTCTCTTCTCCACTAGAATTACTCATCTCTCAACATTTTGCCAGATAAGCATAGATGCAAACTCATTATATTAGCTGGATAGACAACATGTTGTGAAACCAAGTGACATCTCTGCATTTGCTTCAGTGGCATGGAGCTCTGTTTTTTTTATTTCCTTTTGCTCTGTGGAGGCCAGACAAATAGCATCCAATGCTCTTTGCTGATGCAAATTCCAGATTGTCAGTGGAGTTGTACCTGATTTGATGTCTTTACCTGATGCTGGTTGCTTCTTCTAGGAACTTTCAGCTTCTCTGCTGTACTGTTCTTACTTCCCAGGAAAGAGCCCCATTATCTGGCATGCAGCTATTTAATGGTTATCCCGTTTGCAGCTGTGTTTCTTTCCAGGTGGCATTACTATTTTCCTAATAGCTGAAAGCATTAGCAATGTCAGAGGGGTTTCGGTTACTCATTTCTATGTGGAGCACATACTTTGAATGGCTGCCACTGCATTTAGCTCTTGAAGGTATACCAGAGAAGCTTCCTCACTGATTTGCTGAGCTCCCAGCAGTACCTGATGATGCCCAGCCTGGTGCTGCGTGCTGTTAGAGGCACAGTGTCCTGCTCAGTGCTTAACCCCAAGTGCTTCCAGGTGGGAGAGAAAGGCAGAGGCAGAGCACCAGGAGCGTAGATTTTCCTCGAGCTGCAGCTGTTTTACACCTCGGGCTGCGTCTCCTCCTCCTCTAAGCCATCACTATGCGCTGTTAGCATTTGGAACAACTGGAGTCTCAGCAGAAGTTGTTGTGCAAATGCAGTACAAATGCAGATCTTATTAGAATATACTTTTTGCAAGCAGATTTGTATTTTTAGCAGTGACATGAGTTGTCTCGTTAGATACCATGGATACAAGCTGGCTGATTTCTGCTTCTTAAAGAATCCTGAACTGCTGAGAACTCCTCCAGGTCCAGAGGGCGTGATCCTTCCAGGCTGTGAACGCCTTCTGGGGCTGAGCTGTCCTCATTCCATCAGAGGTGAAGGCTCTCCCCATGCTCCAGAATCAATTGGGCTTGAACAGAAATTCTGTGCATATGGCCTACAAGAAAACACAGCTTGCTCTGGAATGCCCATAGATAAGCCTGGTTTACTTAAGAGTTGCACTGAGGCTCTTTGGAAGGCAGTCACAGGTGTGGTTATTGTGGGATTAGTGGCTCATGAGGAGTGCCTGCTGAAACAGTTCACTCTCACTGGGCTGTTGGAATTTCTCTGGTACTGTACCTCACTGCCACACAGACTTGTTTTGAAAATCAAAGAAGTCTGTGGAAACACCATATTTCTGTCATAAAGGTCAGAAAAGGATCTGTCATGTTTGTGCCAATGTCTTTCTTGAAAAGGTAACACTGGATTTACTATAAATGTAAGGTTTGCTGGTAAACTTTTACAAAAACTAAAA